TACAAGGCTGAATTTGTTCCAATCTTGATGCAGGCTATTCTAATCATTCTCCATGTGATTTAATCTTTGCATTTGAATATGATGAGGATTTCAGTGTCATACCAAGTTCCAGACAAAACTTCCACATTTGGTTGTAAATTGTAATTTGGGGAGGAGGTGATATTCTGAATAAGCATTGAATGCATTGTGCTGCAACCCCAAGGGCAACAATTACGGGATCAACGACATGCTAAAGGTAATCCAGGGTTCTTATCTGATGTTCTAACTTTTATGACATATTGCTAGTCTTTTTTGTACTTTTCCGAGCAAAGATGTGAAGTTTCCCACGATTTTGAAATGAAATAAACCAAGGATCTGCATCATTGCACGAAACTCTCTGTTTAGAGGTGTAAAACTAACCAAAACAGCAGCCCTGTTTTTGTATAAAAATGCCCATCATGCAGAGTTTGATCTTTTCATGTTTAAAGCCCCCTCCTATATATTTTCCTGTTTAAAACTAACCAATATGTAAGTTTGGTAGCATTGAGCACATCAATGGTCAGTTGATTAGAAGAGTGCCGATCAGTGCAGTACCGTCTGACCTTCGCGAATTCCGTACCTGGCGGCTGCTCGAGAGAGATTCACATCAGACCGATTGTGGTACAATTTCGACGATGTTTCAATGTTATCAAGAAAATGATTGATAGACCTTTGTTTGATCTTGATGTTGTCCTGGCATAAAGTAAAGAGCCTTCTTTATGAATTGTTCGACGAGGGCAAGCATATTAGTAGGGCAACGGAGACATCTACGAGTCCAATCAAACTTTTTTACTTTGATCACAAAAGAGATGATGATGCTCAATACTCCAGCATCTTTTTTCTTTTGCATAAATAAATAAAACTGGCCAAATGATTCCTTAGCAAATGTCCTACCATTTGCAACCGTTTGTTCCTTTCACAAGATTCCATGACCCTGTGATTGCATCCATGTGTGTGCTTGATTCAATCTGAAGTTTTGAATGAATCGTCCATAATATTTTGTCCACAAAATTTGCGAGTTAAAGCTATAGTTTGAATAAGTAAAATTTATCTACTTTTTACTAAAAGTAGTCCTAGATAATTATGTATGAATCTCTACCGGAAACGACGATACCATTATTACATATAATGAAAATAATCTTATGGGACTATCAATCAGATTGGAGCACACCTGTAAGCGTAGGAATCGCCAATTTGTCGTTGGTCTTCATTTGACATTTTCATACGATTTCAAATGGAGATGTGATGAAAGAAACTAGATTTTCACGGAAAAATAATGTAAGGACTTGTTATGTTAATAAAACAATGCACAAGGACTAAATTTGAACATTTCTAAAAGTACTAGGATTAAAGGTATAAATCTTTAAGAAACTTGTACACTTAGGTGCCATGTGTCGATATGTCAGTACCGACACAGCATATTCTGTACATACTTTAACGCAATATTGAATTTTGTTCTAAAATTGTCACTGGAGATAAAGTTGAGAGACTAAACATCGACGAAAGATAGTACATGTACCAAAAATGAATTCAAGCAAATAGTACTGGGATGAGTTTTGTTATTTCCTTTAAATGTATTTTTGAAAAATAAAATATTAATAGCATCAGTTTATTTTTCAATAGGTTGTCTGTATGCTATTTATTTTCTTCCCACAGTTTTCTTTTGAAAAGAAAGATCACAAATGTTATTATTTTGTGATTCTCTACTAAATAATTTTCAAATAAACTAACGTCCTATTTTTTTTTCTCTCTTTTAACATGGACTTAGTATCGCTGCTGATTTTTTTTAATACTTTTCTACTATTCCTTTCGACATAATGATATTGATTTCAGAAGTCGAAGTTATATTTGTAATAGATTGTATTTGCATGATCACTCTTAGATAGCTGACACGTGGAGAAATTTATTTACATAATCACTAAGCAGCTTTAAGTACACGTGTTACTCCTCCGACGGTGACGTATAGCTATTTTTACATCCTGAGCAGAGTTGATCGAGATCTTACTAGTAATACTTATTTTTTCAACTTGCAAAGTGAATGCAACTTCTTTTACTGACACGATTTCTTAAGTGCAAACACGATTTAAGGACAATTGGAAAATACTATATTCTATCAATTTAGGAAGTTTTTTTTGTTAATTTTTGGGGGCAAAATTAATAATGTCGTTGTCGCCATTGTTAATGAGTTAAATTTTCTGTCTTTTTTCTTATGTTGTCTTGTGTCTTATCTCTTTTGTGATGGTCAAAATTTACATATGACATCTTAATAGCTTGCCAATTGTCATTACATATTGCAAAATGCTAAAGCTCTCAAATTATTATTCTCTGTTAAATATTTTTCAAATCAACTGATGTCCCTGCTTTGTGGCAAAAAGAAGACTAGTGACCCTGTTTCTTTTCCCCTTTTGATATAAACTGGGATCAACTTTGCTTTTGCCATTGAAAATTCTTGACAAAACTTGCTCTCCTTCACTCGCTAACTACAATCTAGAATTGCAATATGCCCCCGCAATATAGACTTGGTTTAATGGCTCGTTGCACATTTAAATCGATGCCTAAAAGCAACATCAGACCGGCGGATGTTAATGCACATGAACACCGACAGATTCAACAGCTCAACCGTTGGAAAGGAAATCAGAAGCAGCTGACGAAGCAATGAATTTCAGACATTCAGATATCAGCCAGCGAGGAGGAGCTTACAAAAGCCATTCACTCTCTTAATACAAGCCCAAGAACAAAGAAAGAAACAACAAAAAATGAAAAACAAGGGGAAGGAATCAGATCTCTCTGTCACAAAATCGTAAAGTAGCGGCGTCGAATAACATGCTGCTGCTTTCCGTATACGTACACCATCAATCTCGTCCAAATAGTGGAAACTTCACCCTAAAAAAAACCTCTGTATAAATATGTCCTATTTACAAACCACCAAACAACATCATTAGCTCTTGATGTCGTCCTTGGCTTTCATTAGAGCCACTGATGATCGTCTTGATCGGTGGGCGAGCATGAAATGAAAGGCACGAAACCTCACCTGTCGAACACGGGCCTCATGAAGGCATCGTCGAATTTTCGCCAGTAATGGTGCACCGTGTGAGAAGGCATGCTCAGGAGCTTGTGCAAAAGTGCTCGGACGGAGTATGCTTTCGCCATTCTGGTGAGTCTCCGAGTTTTGTTTGCTGCTGAGCAGTGGCTGAGCGAGGATTTGGGACTTGATGGCTCAGAAGATGTCATGCTGGCAAAGTATTTGGTCGAAGGAGCAAGATTCTCACTAGAGGCTTTCGGCAACAGCAAACACCTGTATCGTTGAATGATATCTTGAGGCACAAGCTCCATGTTATGCCACCAATTAGACTCGGCATATGAAACTCCATCTTACCACAGGGCTAAACAGAACGACCGTGATGGTACTTGCAATCACAAACACATTGCCCCCCAATTTTGCTTCAGACCTACTAAACTGCATGCACAGAAAATGAACTTCAGAGCAAGCATATGCTTCAGATTAATACGAGGAAACATAGTAAAACCTGTTATAATTGGCAGCTCTGGCGACCACATTCATAGCATTGCTAGGAATAGAAAGAATCTCATGGAACTGCATATCGAAGGTCTCCTGGAAAGCACATTAGCTGATCATCCTACCTGGTAATAAGCGAGTGCCATGGAGACAGCGCCACGCAAAAGCCCTGCCCACCAAATTGTGACCTGAACATATCAGAGTTAAATTAGGAAATTTCATCATGCTGACTACCTTATACGCAGGAAAATCTGCAAGAAACTTCTAATCTCTAACCTGCTGCTTTAAATGGAACTTTTCGTACTTAGATTTCCTAGCCAAGTTGGATAAGAATAATAGGGCCCAACAATGTCGAGCTGACCTTGATCGATTTTCCAGGACTGAAAATGAACGAAGAAGAATGACGAAACATTAGGCAAATCGAAACTCAATTCCCAGTATTCAACCTCGCCTAGCAAATGTAGAATGTAACAGAGACTTGTCATTACCTATTGCTTACGACTCCTCACTTCTCCATATCTAACGCATCCTTTCCAGCACGAAGGAAGATGGAGACCTTGGCAACAAACGACAAAGTTGCAAAAACGTGCCTGCAATCATTGGCAAATACATGTGAACATTAGCGGCACGAGAATTACAGGAATCATGTCCAAGGAAAAGATCGAAAGTGGGAGGATTTTCGATATACTTAGAGGACCAAGTCAATTGTCGTCTGTCGTTAGCTAAAAATTAGTATAGGGACCAGTGCTATTATTGATATTGGGGGAAAGACAAGAAAAAATCTTCGCAAAATCTAATCCCAAAAATCTAATGGCAATAGAAAATTAGCTAACGCACCGATACAGACAGTAGATCGGTCGAAATTATATGCTGCTGATGACTTTGGTGTAAATGTTGGCGCATATCAAAAAGCAATGGCAAATGATCGCTGATTATTAGACCAGAGTTGGTCGATGAGCATGCTGACTAAGGAGCAAGATGGTCGATTCAAAGTAAGGACTGTATCAAGGCTCAGGCACGTGTAGACCCATTAAGGGAGATCCTGGAGAACAGTTACATTGGCAAACAAACATGGAGAGATCACAGATGAAGTCACCGTTAATCGGAAGAACCTGTGTGTAATGCCGAGGGAAGCACTCGATGAACTCATAAGGGGCAGGGAGTGATTTGAGATATGGACCCAGAATTACCTAGTCAGTCTCAATATCATTTTCCAAGAAAGATAACAAAAGACGACCATTGTCTTCATAGCGTCAAAGCATCCTTAAAAGACAATAATAGTTGACAGATATTCAGAGAGCTCAAAATACCATGTCGATCACGTCACATGGTCAAGAAAAGTTAGTCATGCTCAGGTTGATAATCGACAAAGAAGTTTGTGTGCCGATAAGTGCTTCTATAGTTTAGTAATCTATTAGCACCAAAGGCAAAACATTGAAGAACGGAAGTGAGCAAAGGTGGACTTTCCATTAGAAATGTCAACTATTATAATTACAAATTATTCACAAAGTCCATCGCTTCCTTGTGGAAGCTCGACATGTCGATATCTAAGCAACCATTGCGGACCACCAGCTGATTCTTGGCATGCCGATGATCAGCTAATTCCTTGGCCAGTTGAGACTTCCTATGAGGTAGCGTCTTGAATGCATCAAGGTCACGTTCCAAGGTCCTGTTTACTTGGGATATTTCACCAGCCACAAGTCCACGACGACGACGAACATCTGCCAGACGTTTCTCTAGCTCAGCTTCCTCAGTAGCAAGATCAACTTGCTCATCGATCAGAGTTTGTAAGGTATTTTCATTGCCCTGCAATGACTGATCAAGTTCCTTGATGGAAGCAAGAGACTGTAGACATTTCTCTTCTAAGGCTGTCAGAGATGTAATCTTTTCCTTGTCGTACTGGTAAGCCTTCATACCACCAAGGAATTGCTCCAAGAAGATTTTGCAACGTTCCTTGAACTGGGGAGACTTCGAGAATTGGATGTCATCATCGTATAGCTCTTCTAGCAAAATTTTAACCCTATCAGTAGTGATAGGATTAGCTGCAAGCAATGAATAGCCTCCTACGGACAGCTCAAAAAATTCAGCCCATTTGCGCTTAATTGCTTGGATATGTGCAGATGAAGAGTCAGATGCCAAGGTGCCACAACTGGCAGCTTCAAGATGACGAGCCTTAGAAAGTTCTTCAAGAATGAGCCTGCCCCTGACACTAGAACCGACGAAATTTTCACCGGTTTGACCAGATGGAGGTGTCGGAAGCAGCAGAGGTACAGAGGGAGAGCGCATCGACAAAGCATGACCAAGAGCATTGGTAACCCCTTCCAGCTGTTTTTGATTGTTCATCTCAACTGTGGCAGATGTGATTGTCAGTTGGGGATCTGTCGAACCTACGCAAACCAATACTGATGCTGTTAAATGGTAGTTGATATGTGTATCAACTAACAACATTGTATTGAGATACATGGTACTCACCGTGTCCAGCCAAAGAAGATGGAGCGGAGACTAGTGATGCACTCTCGAGGGAAGAAGAGCGAAGACTGCATTCTGTCCTGGGAACAAGAGGCGCGGCTCTGGCTTCAGGTGACTCGTCGGTAAGAACAATTGTTCCCTCAGGACCCGGAGAGGTGTTAGTAGCCCCGGTAACATTGTCAGTACTGAAAGAGGGATTTGAGCCGGCACCAGTGGCAGTATTTTCAATCTCTTCAACATCATCACCGGTGCTAGCTGAGGTAGATACCACCCTTCTTTTTTTCCTGGAAAGAGGAACTTCTTCCATCTCTTTTTCTTCCTCAGTAACTTGGATCCCAGTCGACCGTTTCTTTCTGGTCCGCAAAGGAGTGATTGGTTGGGAAACCGCTGTAATATGAAGGCAAGGTAAGTGAAAAAAGGAATATAGATCGGTGGAAGCACAGAGCAGAGCGATTACCTTTTCCTCTCCTGGCCCTACTTTTCTTCTTCCGAGAACGTGGTCGTGGAGATTGAACTTGAGCAGTGGACATTGGCAGGCCATCCAATGATCCTTCGTTTTCCTCGATCATCAACAGTTTAGGTTCAACAGATTGCTGACTATGGAGTTCATCTTGCTCTCCTTGTCCAACCGATTTCCCTTTGATTGGAGAAGTAAACGATTTTATCCTTTTGAGAGCAGACCTGGCGTTTATAAAATACCGACGGTAATAAAGTCCCCACCATTGATCGTAGTCAGGAGTGGATTGTGGATCAGGACTGAATTCATCGACAGAAAATCGGGCATGCATACTTTCAGTAATTTCAGAGCAGCAGCTGAAAGGCCCATTTTCGGTAGATTTATACTTGGTCTTCTCTGTGAAAGGAAACTCCAGGGAATAATAGATCGGCATGGGTATACCTTGGGCCAATCCAAATTGTCTAGCACAATACTGTGGGGAATATATCTCGAACCCATGGTAGAACCTTCCCTTTTTGGACAATCTCAACGGAAGGTCAACAGGAGTCAGCACCTTAACCCAGAAATCACCAAATTCTTCCCGAGAAGGAAAACGATAGAGATAAGAGAAGCTTTCAGACTTAAAGGGACAAAAGTCGAACTTGTCTCGATCAAAGTCAAAGAGAACTCGAAGAAAATACGTCAAAGGGGGATTGCCCTCTGGAATCGGTAACGGAAGTCGACTAAGTAATTGACTTCCTATGAACTCAGGGACGTGGGGCTGCAGGCTCAAGTTATTATATTTGGGCAATTCGTGATTTCGATTCGAGAACAGAAAAGGAAAGTAGAGGACAATCCAAGCCTGTAGAAGCCAAAAGGATCCGAAGAAGGTACCAGATTCTTTTCCGCGCATAGCCAAAGAGGCGTGCGTGATGCCTCTATACAATGCAGCAAGTACGAGCGGGCCTAATGCGATCGATGTACCTTCTGCCAAGCAAGATGCAATACCGAGGAGATCCTTAGATACTCTAAGTGCAGGGTGGAGAAAGACGTACTTGGATAGCCAGTAGAGCAGGAAGGCAGTATGCTCGTCATCCTCAACTTGTCCAGATGGTTGACGGAAAGTGTTCATGAAGCTCCCGTAAGAAAGGGCATTGTCATCGATGGACTCGAGGTATCTGGGGGAGCCAATGTCCTTTACAGCCAAGCCAGTGGGCATGAAACCGGCTATGGCATGCACATCCAGAAGGGTGATCGACATCGGTCCCCAGGGAAAGAAGAAACAGTTGGTTGACGGAGACCACAAGCAGACTACGGAACCCAAAAGGCCCAAGTTCAGATTCCAGTCGAAGCAACTAAACTGAAGCGCCCTTTCGATGCCGGCCTTCTTCCAGAGAGAGGTTATTCGATCTTGAGCCGTCATTCTCCGGTACCATCGGTAGAACTCGGGGTCGAAGGAGGGAAATCCCCTGAATCGCTGCGACTCGGCGGTCCAGACATCCCGAACGGTGGGAAGTTGGAAAGGAAGGAGCTCTTCGCGCGAGCGAGGAAAACAAAGGTCAAAGACCGGTGGGATCGGCGAGGATCGTTTGAAGCAAGGCCCCGAGACAAGCCGAGAGCCATCCCCGTCGATGTCGTTCTGGATGTCAAGGCAACAGTTGTCATCACATTCTCCGCTCCGTAGCTGGTCGAAGCGGGCGACGTAGGTTGCAGCTGTGAAGTCGGAAGAGTCGGATGCCATTAAGAACGACCAAAGTTGAAGACGAAGCTCTGTGGTTCAAGTGGGCAGGATGGATATGGACAGAAGGGCAGATAAAAATTGAATCTTTTTCAAATGGGCATGTATTTATAGCGAAAATGAGCTAACCCATCGACACAGAATGTGTTTGCCGATGACTTTTGGTGTGAATATCGGCACACATCGGCAAGTAAGGGCGAATGATGGCCGATATCGAGACCAGAGTTGGTCGATGAGCGTGCTGACAGAAGGAGCAAGATGATCGATTCAAAAAAGAAAGGAACGGCTTTCATCTTCCGCAAGAAAGCGCCCGACTCACGGCGGCTTGTCAGCTCTGGCCATGGCCGATCACCGGTGTTTTTGCTCCGGTGGGGCTAAGAACCAAGAGGAAAATCACGGGCCGACGAGGATGGATCGCCTCAGATCTGGAAAGAAACCGAGCAAGGGAGCCCTCGAATTCGACACCGGCGCTTCCTTCGCAGGCGGCTCGACGGCCGGGGCCATCAGCTGCGTCGGCCGGAACAGCCACGGAGACGGAGGCTCCGCCGTTGGTCGGAACCCTGAGGTTCCTGAGCGAGAGAAACGCACCGAGGGAGAGTCGGACAACTTGGTTCGGTAGTTCGGACACTTCGAGGAACAGATCACTTCACGTGGGAAGCGGACGGCCTTATCACTGAAGCTGCTAAGAGTTTGATAAATGGATGCCCTTATCAAGTCTCAACTTATATATAATATATAAAATGGTTAATATCACAAAAAACTCAAAACTGGTACACTTATGACAAATTTAACCCGAACTAATTTTTTTACCATAAAAAATCCCAAACTAGTACATCTGTGGTAAATTTACCCTAAACTAATTTTTTAACCATGAAAAACCCCAAACTGATACATCCGTGAAAAATTTACTCCAAACTAATTTTTTTACCACAAAAAATCCCAAATTAATATACGTGTGATAAATTTACCCCAAACTGGTAATCTTGTGACACATTTACCCTCTGTTAGCAAGCCAATTTGGGATTTTCGTGGTATTTGCCCAATGGATTTTCACGTGGACTTGCCACGTCACAATGTGTCATCCACATCAACAAATTTAACGGTAAAATTTGATGGAAGTTAACGGACGGTAAATTTGTCACAAGTGTACCAGTTTGGGGTTTTTTATAGTTAAAAAATTAATTTGGGATAAATTTGTCACGAATGTACCAGTTTGGGGTTTTTCGTGGTCAAAAAATTAATTTGGGGTAAATTTATCACGGATGTACCAGTTTGGGGTTTCTGCGATAAAAAAATTAGTTCAGGGTAAATTTGTCGCAAGTGTATTAGTTTTGGGTTTTTTGTGATATTAACCCTATATAAAATCCATCCTTACCAAAAAAAAAACCCTATATAAAATCCACTTGTTTAATAGGTAAGACTTATACTTTTCCAAAAATTTTCTCCCCCCACCTTTTAGACAAGTTAACCCATGTGAAATTGTTCTGACCAAAAAAAAAAAACCTATGTGAAATTGTACTATAAATTATGTAACTCACCATTACATCCTCAAGTCTCGGGTTATCTACTAAATAAAATAGTTATGCTAATATGATGTATTAGAGGTGTTCGTGTAACAATAAGGTTTCGGTTTATTATTTCTTTTATTCAAGTGGTTAAATATTACGTAAAATGATAATATTAACTCTTAAAGAGTAAGTCATTATATCAAGGGTTAATATCACGAAAAACCCTAAACTGGTACATCTGTGACAATTTTACCCCGAACTATTTTTTTGACCACAAAAACTCCCAAACTGGTACATCTGTGACAAATTTACCCTGAACTATTTTTTTGACCACTAAAAACCCCAAACCGGTACACTTTTGACAATTTTACCCGAACTATTTCTTTGACCACCAAAAACCTCACACTGGTACACCTGTGATAATTTTACCCCCGAACTATTTTTTTGACCACTAGAAACCCCAAACTGGTATATTTGTGACAAATTTACCCTCTGTTAGTGTCCATTAAATTATATTAATATCACAAAAAATCACAAATTGGTAAACTTGTGACAAATAGAGGGGTAAAACCCAAAATCGGTACACATGTCAATTACCACGTGTCATTAAACTTAGCAATTTGACAGTAAAATTTAACGAAAACTAACGGAGGGTAAATTTGTCACAGGTGTACCAGTTTGAGGTTTTTGGTGGCCAAAAAATTTGTTTGGGGGTAAAATTGTCACAGGTATACCAGTGTGGGGTTTTTGATGGTCAAAAAAATAGTTCGGGATAAAATTGTCACAGGTGTACCAGTTTACGGTTTTTTGTGGTCAAAAAAATAGTTTGGGGTAAATTTGTCACAAATGTACCAGTTTGGGGTTTTTCGTGGTATTAACCCTTATATCAATGGCACAACTAGTTCAACATTTTCATCAAGTAAAAAAGGGTTAATATCACGAAAACCCCAAACTAGTACACATATGATAAATTTATCTCAAACTAATTTTTTGACCACAAAAAACCTCAAACTGGCACACCTATAACAAATTTAGCTTATGTTAATTTTCATTAGATTTTACTGTTAAATTACCGAATTGGATGACACGTGATAGTTGACGAGTGTCCCAGTTTAGGATTTTATCATCCATTTGTTACAGGTGTACCAGTTTGTAATTTTTCATGATATTAATCTAATTTAATGGAAATCAATGAAAAGTAAATTTATTACAAATATACCAGTTTTGGGTTTTTAGTGGTTAAAGAATTAGTTTGGATGGCCATCTCTTTTTAGTGGTTAAATTATATTAATATCTATCCCTGGCATGCGTAAGCATCTTTTTAAAGTCGTCAAGGACAAGGCCATCTCTTTGGGGAGAGTTGAGGACACTTATAGGAACCGCATTCTATTGAGGAAGTGGGACCTGCCTCCTTCTATCTTTGGATAGTGCTGCTCCCAGCTGTTCCGGTGCCCTCTTCAGCGGGTTTCCGGAGTTTTTGCGTCGCCCATCCAACCTGCGGCTGGATTGGTTGTCTTTGTTTTCTTATTTCTTTTTTCCATGTTCTTAGCCGTCCTTCGGCTTGTTGTATAGTTCCTGCTGGACCCTCTTGACCTTGTTTGGACATTTCTATGTCCTTATATGGTCATGAGCTGGTTTGGGCTTAGGTTGTACTTGGTGATTTGAAAAGTTATACATATTCTTACCTTACCAAAAAAAAAAAAAAAAGAATTAGTTTGGATCCTTACCAAAAAAAAAGAATTAATTTGGATAAATTTGTCACATGTGTACCAGTTTTGGGTTTTTAGTGATAAAAAAAATTAGTTTTTGGTTAATTTGTTACTAGTATACTAGTTTGAAATTTTTTGTGGTATTAGCCTAATGAAAAAACACAAAAAGATAGAACAAAAAGTGGTGACTAGTTAGCTCGGACAAATCACAAAGTCCCAGGCCTTTTTTAGAGAGATTCTCTATTGATATCCTCTCAATTGCATAACTCGAACTTTGCATGTTAACCGCAAATTGCATCTTAATGGGGAAAGTGTCTAATCAGTCACAATCTTCTTGTACGAATCCTAATTTCAAGTTCTAAATTTTTCAATACTGCAGCAGGGAGTCCAATAAAGTTGTAGACTAGATTGCTAAAGCCCAAAGAAATAGATGCATACTTTATAATTGGCTGTCTAGCCCCCCTGAAGCTCTACGGGCTTTACTTTGTTCTGAATCAAGTCTATTGTACTCGAACTCCATGAACTAGCTAATGAAATATGTTTTTTTTCTGATAAAAAAAAAATAAGCACTGTATCAAGGCTCAGGCACGTGTAGACCCATTAAAGGAGATCATGGAGAAGAGTTACAATGACAAACGAACATGGAGAGATCAAGATGCTATTTTAAAGAAGCAATTGCTTATAAGAAAAGAATCGACAACGTGGGAATATGGGACCAGAATTTTCGAAGGTGTGGAAGTTACAACCCCGAAGGATCTGCTCCGAGATGGTTACAGTAGAAGGCCTATAAACACCAAGTTCTCATCAACTTAAGACCCCCCCACAATCGTATCAACAAATGTTATTTTTCAGTTATCTTTAGTTTCATGCAATTTACTTATAGTTTTCAAACTCACGTCGTCGATTAAATTTCGATGTATATCTTTGCTGAAGCTCTCGATGTTATATCGTTAATTAAATTCCGGCATCACATCTCGATCCTTACGAGCTTTGTCGTCAATTAAATTCCAACAAAATTTGTAAACTATTTAGTTTGTTCGGAATAAAACAGTAGTTTCCTTATACACTCGTGATACTTCATGTCTAGAATCACCATAGGAACTATCTCCTCTCTTTAAACCGAAGGACGACTTTTAGTAAAAAATATTTCATCACGGGAGTCAATTTCGGCAAAACAATCTTCATTTGAGTGTATTTTTTTACGTAGTCTACAGTTTGGAGTGTGAAGAAAGTCCAAGAGTGTTAGCAAATTGAAAAACGGGTCATGAAAGGTTACTAGTACAAAAAAAAAAAAGTATGAAAAGATTTGGAAGGTGTTATTTCCGTACTTTTTTTTTTTTACTAAAAGCACGTCTTTTTTAGGTAATTGACTAATATATCCTTATGACGTCAGATTTGGTCCAATATTACTGATGAGACTTTTTTGCTCTCAATCCTAATTTATGACCAATCATTTTTTTCTATTAAAATCTATTTTAAATTATTCCTTCTTTTTTCTTTTTTGTATGGGAATAATGGGAATAAGAAAACTTGTCTCTTTTCTCCAACATTGAAAAAAAATATTATTTTTCCAGAAGCATGGTCAAACGTAAACATGCTTATCTTCAGGTCCTATCTAAATATTAACGAAAAGTAAACACAAAAAGGTAAAGAAAAAGGGAACTTCTTGCTATTTTGCTTCTCAATGAAGAAATAATTGATATCAAGCATAGATTTTATCCCATAGCAATTACATCAAAACTTCATGAAATGCTCAAAGTTTCCACTGAAATAATGTGATGTGAGTTACAAAGTGGAGAAAGTGTAATTAGAGTTTTGTGTTTCAACTCCCATTTTGCAATTAAAAAAAAAGTTAAAAGCTTAAAGAAAGCACAGTTAAGCAATCTTTAACTATAGAAACCTGCAAATTTATTTTGGCAAAAATCCCACGAGGCTAAGATTCGTTAGATAGAAATTTAATTTAATATAGTGTCACTCAAACTATTTTAATAAAATGCAATTACTTGTGTAATCATAAGCTGTCATAAATAAAAGGAAACATTTCAAATAATGGTCTAAAATGCCATTATTTTCTCAAATAAGAACCTAAAGTGCTTTTTTTTTTCTCAAATAAAAGCTTAAAATGGACCTTATTTCAAATGAGGGCTTTAATTGGCCATAAGGGTGTGCAAAACGGAACGCCCGGACCGGACCTGATCGGCTGGTTTGGTTCGGTTTCCAAGAGTATCGATCCGATTTCTAGTTCCTAAAAGTGGAACCAGTGTCTGAGTGGTCTGGTTCCCTATTCCAAAGGGAAATCGGATCTGACCGGACCGACTATATGTATTTTTTAATTTTTTTTAAAAAATTAGTAAAATGTGAACTAAACCCTAAGTGAACTTCATCGACATAAATTTATCGACAAAAATTAGTAAAATGTGAA